GCAATCCTTCAACCAAAAGAAAACAGAGATAGAAAATTTGGTAAAAGATTTGGAGGAACGAAAAAAGAAAATAACTGAAATGAAAGAAAATGTTGACCTGATCAAAAGTATTGCATCAGATTTTCAATCTTTTATTGCCATTCATCAAACATCAGATGAAGTTCATAAGGAAGAAGAGGAATTAATGCACGTAGTCAAGGATGATAAACTTAAATCAGTAGAGATAACAATGATTCCAACAGAGTTTGATTTATTAACAGATCATTTTGATTCAATTTGGAAAGTTCAAATAAAATCAAGTCTTTGCAAGATCTCAATGAAGAATAGCAAAGTTCAAGAAGCACAGCTCAGTTGTGCATCCCTTGTTCCAATAAATGTCGAAAATTTAAAACTTAAAAAGACTGAAGAATTCTCCCTGGATGAAGTCATACAGGATTTCAATACCAATAAAATGGCTCCACAATCCAGCCATATTCGTGCTCTTGTAAAAAATAGACGCCGACCATTTTTGGTGAGAGATTGCATTTCAGAAAATGCAAATATGCTTATTTTAGATAGCGAATTTCGCATGGTTTTCTGTCTTACAAATGATGCCATTCATGTTAGACAAGTTAATGTCTGTCCCTTAAGTTTTGTCCCTGGAGGAATCATTAGCTTGAGTTCTTCCCTTGCAATTATATCAGAGCAGAAGGGGAAACACTTTCATTTCATAAACATAAAAGATGCTGAGATTTGGAAGACCGTGGAATGTGAAACTGTTATGATGTCAGTATCTTACAAAACTCCACATTTGTTTGTACAGAATGGTTCTGGTGGCTTTTCTCTAGTTAACAAGAAAGGCCAAGTGTTATCGGAGACTAAAATGTTGTTCATAGATGAAGAGATTCACCAATCTGCATGTTTTCAAGATATATTCTGCTTTGTTTCATATGATGCTATTCGTTGTTGTGGAATGGCCGGAAATCAGTTGTGGCAATTTCAGCATGGAAAACTGCTACCAAAAGCGCTGACAACAGATGGTGATAACGTAATATTTGCTGTTTCATATAATGGAAGTATGTATGCTATTTCAGCTAATGGCAAATCGTTCAGCATTTTGGTTGAGCCTAACAAGAATTTACTCCAAGCCTCTGCTGTTCATTATGACAAAAATGGAAAGAAACTTCTTGTTTCAACTGAGAAGGGGACAGTTTTTCTTTATGACGTTTATTTTCAATAAATTTTAAATTCATAATAGTCTATCATTTCAAAATCTTAAGCCTTATAGTAGGTGAATTCATTATTCATGCACAGAAGGGAAAATGATGTCAGGGAATTGATGATGTATCCTATATTTATATATAAGAATTGAATCATGGTTTTTGAAAATTTTACCCAGCAGGCATTAGATTATGAAACAGTTAATCCTGTTGTTATATGGAAGCAAAGATATATATAAGGAAACTGCAAATATCAATGAATAAAAACAGTCGTTGGGTTTACTTCAATAAGACAGCAACCAAACAGAAAAGAAAAAAAGAAAAGACCAAAAGGGCAACATATACAGTCATCAAATCAGACAGATGTCTCACAAGCTCAAAATTGACACAGGTATATAAATATGACATAGTTTAACAAAAACTGTCAAATATCTGTCATCAGCATCGCATTCTCCAGATGATAAACAAAGTATTAAGACATCACATGATAAGAAAATCATTTCCCGACTGAACAATCACATGAATATGTGATGGGGCTAAACCAATTTTTGAAGTTTATTCATTGTGCACCAATTATTTTCATTTTAGTGTACGAATTATTTTTTGGAGTTTCTGTTACCAAGGAATCCCTTTCCCCTAAACCCCTAATCAGAATTTGATGAAAATTCTGAAAATCTTGATCATATACAGCATATCATATATATCTAACATGTCTAATGTCATTGTGCACCTATTTGGTTTCTTGGTCTAATTTATATTTTGGTTTCCATTATCAATACATTGCGTTGGTGTATCATTTTGAAGATTTGCTGGCATACTTCTAGTTTCTCTTTTAGAGTTCTTCTAGATCTTCCACTGTTTTTTCATACCCAACAGATATTATATGACATATATTTATTAAACAGTAACTGGAAAAATGCATTTGAAAATGTATTTCTTTTACAAAAGTTATATTCCCTTAAACACAGCCTTTTACCACTTCATTATAATAGATTAAAACAACTAAACTTGAGTGTGTACAAAAAAAAGTTTGTTTGTTTGGTGAACCATGAAATCAATATTACCTTTTTTGTTTCCCCTGTGACTAAAATCACAGTATGCGATACATAGGGATTATTTTCTGGGGTCAGCATTAACTATTGTATAAAGCCTTTATATTTCAGAAGGTAGAAAAAGAGAGGTGAAAGATACCAAAGGGACATTCAAACACATAAGTCGAAAATAAACTCAAGAGCCTGTGTCGCTCACCTGTATTTACTGATGCTTTGGAAATCATGTAAAATAAGGTTAAAATCATAATTAATAGTATTAGATATTAGATATTATAATGATATCTAAGATAATAACAAAAAACTGCAAAATTTTTGTAAAATTACTAACTCAGGGGTAGCAACCCAACAACGGGTTGTCGGATTTGTCTGAAAATTTCAGGGCAGATAAATCTAAATCTGATGAACATTTTTGCCACCTGTCAGATTTGCTCTAAATGCTTTAGTTTCAGAGATATAAACCAAAAACTGCATTTTAACCTTATGTTCTATTTTTAACCAAGTCCGCCATGATGGTTGGAAAGCGGGGTCATCGGACAAATTTTTTAAACTAGATACCCTAATAATGATTATGGCCAAGTATGGTTAAATTTGTCTCAGTAGTTTCAGAGAAGAAGATTTTTGTAAAAGATTACAAAAATTTACGAAAAATTGTTAAAAATTGACTATTAAGGGCAATAACTCCTAAAGGGGTCGACTGACAATTTTGGTCATGACAACTTATTTGTAGATCTTACTTTGCTGAACATTATTGCTGTTTACAGTTTATCTCTATCTATAATAATATTCAAGATAATAACCAAAAACTGCAAAATTTCCTTAAAATTACCAATTCAGGGGCAGCAACCCAACAACAGGTTGTCAGATTTGTCTGAAAATTTCAGGGCAGATAGATCTTGACCTGATTATCAGTTTTACTCCATGTCAGATTTACTCTAAATGCTTTGGTTTCAGAGATATAAGCCAAAATCTACATTTTACCCCTATGTTCTATTTTTAGCCATGGCGGCCATCTTGGTTGGTTGGCGGGGTCATCGGACACAATTTTTAAACTACATACCCTAATGATGATTGTGGCCAAGTTTGGTTAAATTTGGCCCAGTGGTTTCAGAGGAGAAGATTTTTGTAAAAAGCTAACAACGACGGACGACGGACGCCAAGTGATGAGAAAAGCTTACTTGGCCCTTTGGGCCAGGTGAGCTAAAAAATAAAAGACCAACAGACAAACAATTGTACACACAACACACCATAGAAAACTAAAGACTGACCAACACGAACCCCACCAAAAACTGGGGGTGATCTCAGGTGCTCCAGAGGGGTAAGCAGATCCTATTCCACATGTGGCACCCATTGTGTTGCTCTTATTTTAATAGAAGACCTGGGTGCTTCATACCTTGTCTGCAGATACCTATGTTACAAAGTTAACGTCTGTCATATGTCCATTGTCCTTGACATCATTTTCATGGTTCAGCAACTGATTGAAAAAAAAAATAGTGTTTTGGTCATGTGAATTTCTCACCTATTATGAGTGATGTAGAATAACTATATTTGGTATATGGGTTCCTTGCAAAGTCTACATGTCCGTCAGACAGGATCCACCTGACCTCTACCTCATTTCATGGTTCGGTGATCAAGGTTAAAGTTACATGATTAGGTCCTCTTCTCAGATACTAAAGCAGTAGGTCAACTATATGTGGTGTATGGAATGATTGCAAGGGGTACATGTCAGTCTGGCAGGTTTTATCTGACCTTATCTCAATTTCATGGTTCATTCGTCAATGTTAAGTTTTTGTGTTTTGGTCTGTTGTTCAAATACTAATAGCAATAGGTCAGCTATATTTAATGTATGGAAAGTTTGTTAGGGGTACATGTCTTTCTGGCAGGTATCATCTGACCTTGACCTCATTTTCATAGTTTACTGGTTGATGTAAATTTTTTGTATTTTTTTTTCTGTATTTCAATTATCATAAGGAATAGGTCAACTATATTTGGTGCATGGAATGATTGTTAGGGGTACATATCTGTCTGGCAGGTATCATTTGACCTTGACCTCATTTTCATGGTTTACTGGTTGATGTTAAGGTATTGTGTTTTTTTTCTGTTTTTCAATTACTATAAGGAAGAGGTCAACTATATTTGGTGCATGGAATGATTCACCTAACAAGCTTTATGTCATTTGGTCTCTGGTAGAGACTTGTCTCATTGGCAATCATACCCAGCTTCTTATTTTTATAAAACCCAAGTCCACAGAAAGTTCTCTATTCTGTAAACCCCATCCAGACCCTCATACAGATGAACAATGTAATATGATGGCAGCAGCTCACACAGAGCGTAAGTTGAGCAATATAAAATTAAAGTGTAAGGAACACAAGTCTTTATAGGCATAATTTATAGTCAATATTTATTCTATTAGTTCAATATAAACTCTGGATTTGCTCATTGTTGAAGGCCGTACATTGACCTATAGTGGTTAATTTCTGGGGCATTTGGTCTCTTGTGGAGAGTTGTCTCATTGGCAATCATACCACATCTTCTTATTTTTATATTATATAGATACCAGGATTTTAATTGTGTACACCAGACACACGTTTCAGCTAAAAAGACTCATCAGTGATAATTGAATCAAAAAAGTTAAAGTGGCAAAATAGCATGAATAGGAAAGAAAACTGAAAGAAATTTCTGTATATCTGAAGTTAAACACGAAATGAGAGAGAGGCAAATGTACCAGTCCTGGTATAAATAAAGCTGACAATAACAATTTAATTCTTTTATTATCACAGATCAGATTATCATGTTTTCACAATTTTCAAGCACCAACAATGATATATGATGAAACCTGTCTACAGAAAACTCTTTCGAATCTGATTGCTAGTCCCCACTAGACAAATGCCCAGTTTACACAGGATATATTACAAATATTAAAACATAGTATTTGTATGTCAGCATACAAGGGTTTATATATACTGTGGACTCATTATTATTCGTTGGATACCAATCTTCGTGAGTACGGGTGAACGATCAGAATTAATAATTAAAAAATATTCAATGAATGACACATTTTCTTTAAAGTTGCATATGCAGACTTTGACAAAACCACAAAATTAAATATCCACAGAAAAAAGCAAGTTTTCCTCAATCCATGAATATTGATACCCTCGAAAATAAATGAATCTACCCCAACAGGTTTCTGTTCTGACTATAAAATCAAGGTTAAGTTCAGACAGGTTTCACATAAAGTGCAAATATTAAAAAATAAATAACTATGACAATGCACAATAACTCATCATAATAAACTAATCATATCAATGTAATGCAACTAATTAAAAATGAATACAAACATATATCCCACAAAATTTCTATCCCTAATGCAAAACTAGCACTAGTATTGTTGAAAACAATATCTCGTCCAAAGATATATTTTCCTGGTTTCACATGTATTGCACTGCTATATATATATAGTGACCGTTTATAGGGATAAAAAACAAATTATTTGCCCCTTGCTTTTCTAAACAAACCATTTTTCCTCAACTGAAGCACTGTACATTTATTTGTTGCTTTTGTAACAATTTTTTCAAACTTGATATTAGACGGGCTAATCTTAATTGCTAGTAATAATCTCAATTGAACTCGCAATTTGCCTGATAGCTACTATATGTAGTAGTAGTAAATTTCAAACTTTGATGTAGGTACTGTAAATTTCAGAAATTATTGTGATTTTTTTATTGATGCAAAAAATGCGACATTATCAGACTATAAGGTTCACAATAATATTTTCCTTTATGAGGTTTAGAAATCACATTAATTGATTACACATTTTTGCCAGTGGTCAAGAATTCGCAATAACAAATGCACACAATAATTGCTAAATTTAAAGAATCTTCATAAATACTTTTGATCAAATATGTGGCAACACTTTAAAATCATTTAAACTTGAAACATTGATTTCATATTAACAAAGGGATGTGGGGTATTATTTGTCAGTGAGACATCCACAATACCAAATAACATCTAGAAGGCAACATATAGTCTTCACAAATTCTACATACCACTATATAGTTAACTGTTCCCTCAATTTATTATGACATTGCATATTTCGAAAAAATTAATATAACCATAAATATCAAATATTGCACTAATTTCTGCTTACATTTGATTTAATATTTGTACATAAAAAAATAACAATTGCAATAATAATGTAATCCCTCCCCCACAGATAAAAAATATATTCTACAACTTATTGATAACTTTTATCTGAGAATTTTTCAGGTGTATAAAATCATCTTTTAAAACACAAAAATCAGACGATAACAACGGGACAACCAAAAAAGGACAAGTTGAAAAAAAGACAGATGATACCATAGTCAAAAAAGTAAAATGAAGAAAAGACAAATATGTTTTCAAAGCACTACACAGAAATCTAAACTGATTATTTCATGCTCTTATAACATTATTTAATTGCAAGTAAGAATGATGTACTTTTAAAATTGACAAACCATTGTCTAAATATAGTTTCTTAATGCAGCAATCCCACTTGCTTTGGTGATTAGAAAAATAACATGAATATTCATCATTGCAAATATGTTAGAACTTGGGTCTACCTTTATATTAATACATACGTACATAGCAAAAATGAGATAATTCCTGTGAAGTCGACTAGAAAGAGCAAAAACTAGAGGCTCTCAAGAGCCTGTGTCGCTCACCTGACTCTACTTTGGTTTTAGAAATCATGTAAAGATAGATAAAAATCATAACAGATACCCAAATAATGATTGAGGCCAAATTTTGATTAATATTGGTCCCGTTATTTAATAAAATATCCTGGTGGCCATCTTGAACAGTAAATCGGCAACAAAGTAGCAACACTTGGTCAGCACTTCATAAGGAACATTCATGCCATGTTTGGTTTCATTCCATTCAGTGGTACTCTAAAAGAAGACATTTGTATGTATTTCCCATAGGGTCCTATGTTAAACTAAGCCCCCCCCCCCCCTAGCGGCCATCTTGGATGATGGATCGACTGCAAAGTAACAACACTTGGTAAGAAACTCATAAGGAACATTCATGCCATGTTTGGTTCAATTCCATTCAGTGGTTCTCTAAAAGAAGACAATTGCATGTATTTCCCATAGGGTCCTATGTTAAACTAAGTCCCCCGCTGTCGGCCATCTTGGATGATGGATCGGCTGCAAAGTAACAACACTTGGTCAACATCTCATAAGGAACATTCATGCCATGTTTGGTTCCATTCCATTTTTTGGTTCTCTAAAAGAAGACATTTTTATGTATTTCCCAAAGGGTCCTATGTAAAATTAAGTCCCCCGCTGGGGGCCATCTTGGATGATGGATCGACTACAAAGTAACAACACTTGGTCAGCATCTCATAAGGAAGATTCATGCCATGTTTGGTTTCATTCCATTCAGTGGTTCACTAAAAGAAGACATTTGTATGTATTTCCCATAGGGTCCTATGTTCAACTAAGTCCCCCGCTGGCGGCCATCTTGGATGATGGATCGGCTACAAAGTAACAACACTTGGTCAGAACCTCATAAGGAACATTCATGCCATGTTTGGTTTCATTCCATTCAGTGGTTCTCTAAAAGAAGACATTTGTATGTATTTCCCATAGGGTCCTATGTTAAACTAAGTCCCCCGCTGGCGGCCATCTTGGATGATGGACCGACTGCAAAGTAACAACACTTGGTCAGCATGTCATACCGAACATTCATGCCATGTTTGGTTCCATTCCATTCAGTGGTTCTCTAAAAGAAGACATTTTTATGTATTTCCCATAGGGTCCTATGTTAAACTAAGTCCCCCGCTGGCGGCCATCTTGGATGATGGATCGGCTACAAAGTAACAACACTTGGTCAGCACCTCATAAGGAACATTCATGCCATGTTTGGTTTCATTCCATTCAGTGGTTCTCTAAAAGAAGACATTTGTATGTATTTCCCATAGGGTCCTATGTTAAACTAAGTTCCCCGATGGCGGCCATCTTGGATGATGGATCGACTACAAAGTAACAACACATGGTCAACACCTCATAAGGAACATTCATGCCATGTTTGGTTTTATTCCATTCAGTGGTTCTCTAAAAGAAGTCATTTGTATGCATTTCCCATAGGGTCCTATGTTAAACTAAGTCCCCCGCTGGCGGCCATCTTGGATGATGGATCGGCTACAAAGTAACAACACTTGGTGAGCACCTCATAAGGAACATTCATGCCATGTTTGGTTTTATTCCATTCAGTGGTTCTCTAAAAGAAGTCATTTGTATGCATTTCCCATAGGGTCCTATGTTAAACTAAGTCCCCCTCTGGCGGCCATCTTGGATGATGGATGGGCTACAAAGTAACAACACTTGGTCAGCACCTCATAAGGAACATTCATGTCATGTTTGGTTTCATTCCATTCAGTGGTTCTCTAGAAGAAGTTCAAAATGTAAAAAGTTAACGCCGACGACGGACGACGACGGACGACGGACGCCAAGTGATGAGAAAAGCTCACTTGGCCCTTCGGGCCAGGTGAGCTAAAAATGAAATAAATTATCCATGAAAATAAGTTGGTTTATAGTAAAGGTAGGTGACATGTTGTTACAGTAATTATAAATAATTATTAATAATTATAAATAATTTAACTGCAAAAAGTAAGATTGTATATCATTTTAGAAAACATGAAACAGTTTCCATGCCAAAGAAAATTTTCTTAAAATAGGTGATCTGCTACTTTGAAAGGTTTCAATAGTTGGCACCTCTAAAGACAACATAAATGCTAAGTACAGCATTCATGAGATATGCCTTACACCAGGTCATACAAGATATTCATAAATTATGTTTTGAGAACAGTCGTGAAATTTCAATTCATATATTATCTCCAATTAGTGATATTTCACTTTATACATTATCTCCCCTTCGTGATATTTCACTTTATACATTATCTCCCATTAGTGATACTTCACTTTATACATTATCTCCTTTTAGTTAGATTTCACTTAGTGATATTTAATTTTATACATTATCTCCCCTTAGTGATACTTCCCTTTATACATTATCTCCACTTAGTGAGATTTCACTTGATACATTATCTCCCATTAGTGATATTTCACTTTATACATTATCTTCCATTAGTGAGATGTCATAGTAATAAATGAGTATTATTTTAACTTGTAAAAGCAAGTTTCACAGAGAATAATGAGTAGCTAATGACCTCGTAAATATGTAAACTATTTAACTATATATTTGTCTAAACGTAAATGCAAAGAAGCATTTTGTAATCTCATGTTTATATCATATGTTTGTTCTCTTTGCTAACAGTTGTATATTATTTTTCCTGTGATTTCCCAAAAAGAGATTTCTTTCTTGGTTTATCTTGTCCTGCCTAGAAAAGAAATTCATTAAAAGATGAAGTATCTACAAATTCAAAATTGGTTTCTAAATTAAAGCATGGTAGTACATTCAAAGAATTTTAAGAATTTTGAAGCTTAAATTCATCAATGTTCATAGATAAAAAATACAATTCCAAATGAAAGAAGAGATTTATCCTAAATAACAATGAATAATGAAAAATGAAAAAAAACTTTCACATATTTATATTTTCCATATTTAATATAGTTTATTTTCATTTTATAAAAACATCTTCACTTTGCCTCAAAATCGATTGAGCTGTACTATATTTTTTTACATGTCAAATATTCCAAATAAATGGCAAAAGATCTTTTATTAATAATCACCTGTTATATAAACCTAGTTGTCCAGGGAAGCAACTTGGGCAGCCCCACATTTAACAGAATCTCATTTGTCAGGGAAAATGCATATGAGAGAAAGAAAAAAACTCCAAATATAAATAATCATGTTCTATCTATAGATTTTTACATCTTTAAATAATTTTAACTTACCAACAATTTGGCCCCTAATAACATTTTCATTTTGTCTTCTTCCTGTTGTACATCTGTTAGGGGAGTTTCATCCCCTACTCTGGATCTCATGTGTAGTTTCTGTTTTATTGCCTTTCAAAATATAAAATAAATTATTAATGTTTCCCATTCTTTGTATAGATTGGACTATTGGTTTTCTTGTTTGAATTGTTTTACACTAGTCATTTTGAGGCCCTTTATAGCTTGCTGTTCGGTGTCAGCAAAGGCTCCATGTTGAAGACCGTATTTTGACCTATAATGGTTTACTTTTTACACATTTTGACTTGGATGGAGAGTTGTCTCATTAGCACTCATACCACATCTTCTTATTTAAAGCCTGATTTTTCCTTAGAAAAACAACATTTCTTTATATTGATTTTTGGTTGCTCAACGTTCAGTTGCAAATATTTCATGCAAGTTCAAGACGAACAGTTGTGAACTTTTCTGTAAGAATAAATTCGGCACAAAATAAAAACAATAAAGATAGATTGAAACTCAAATAATTACAATAAATCCATTCATTTTGGGACCTCTCAATGAACCATATATTTTGTAACTTGACTTATAGGAATAAAAGGAGGTGTGAGGTACAGGTCATTGAGAAAGCATCCCAACAACGTAAATAACCAAAAGACATCTAGAGGTAAACATACATTCTTCAACAATAAACTGATGTCTTTACCATCTCAAGCTCTAAACCCCCTCCCCCCAAGCTTAATATTTGGTCTGCTTCTCCTTCACCAACAAGATAAAGGAAAACTAATTTAACTGTTAAATGTCTTTTTTTATACAACAATGACAAAGTGTACTCTACAAAAATGCATTAAAACTAGGTTGTTGGTTTTTCTTATAAATTGTTTAACATTTGTCATGCCAGGGCCTTTTATAGCGTAGTCTACATTGTGAGTTCCGCTCATAGTAAGACTGTAAAGTGTCCTTTAGTTGTAAACATCCTAATCAGTTCTTCTCTTGTTGATAGTTGTCTCATTAGAAACCTTATCCAAATAAACTGCTTCGCTGAGCGCAGCTAGATACGCCCGCAGAGGTCCAACCCTGAACAGTTGGGGCAAAAATGGACACAATATTCAAGCTTGATTCATGTCTGAATTTGGATTGTAATTAAATATTTGACATCTTATTGGTTTCTGAATAAATGTAGTCAAAGAACTTGAAATTGGTTATATGAATTGATGAATTTATATTCAATTAAAGATTTCTAGCTGTTGTGCAATACTTAGTAAATCTGTTGTCAGACTATAAACAAATAAAGTTCAATTAATTCTCAATCAATGTCATATTAGAAATTTATGAAAATAAAAAGGGAGCTTACATCAATAGATATAAACAATTCACCAAAGTTTCATGAGAATTGGTGACAGCCTTTTTGAGTTATTGTCCGAAAACTGGAAAATCACTCCTTTTTTTAATGAATAAAACCCCATAACTCAGAAATGTAAAATGTAAAAGTTATAAAATTCTAAATGGAGCTTACATCAATACATTCAAACAATTCACCAAAGTTTCATAAGAATTGCTGAAAGCATTTTTGAGTTTTTGTCCAAAAACTGGAAAATCCCCCCTTTTTTTATGAATAAAACCCTGTAACTCGGAAAAGTAAAATCTAAAATTTATAAAAATCGAAAGGGAGCTCATGTCAATAAATATAAACAATTCAACACAATTTCTTGCAAGTTGGTGAAAGCATTCTTGACTTATTGTCCGAAAACTGGAAAATCCCCCTTTTTTTAATGAAGAAAACCCCATAACTCGGAAACGTAAAATCTTTATTTTATAAAAAACGAAAGGGAGCTCACGTCAATAGATATAAACAATTCACCAAAGTTTTATGCAAATTGGTTGAAGCATTTTTGAGTTAATGTCCGACATGTTGACGACGGACAGACGGACGGACAACGGTATACCATAATACGTCCCGTAAACGGGCGTATAAAAAGTGGTATTAAAAACTCCAACAAACAATTGTCATTTTTTTTCTAGATTTCATGGTTGAGGCAACCATAGATTCAAATGTAAATGCATGACTAAAGACAAGTACAGTATTTACTCGCCTGGGCTCACATTGATGACCATCAGGACAAATACCTTGACCCCTAATGTTTGTGCTTACGGGTTGCTGTCTCATTGACATGTACTTATATATTTTCTTTCATTTGTATTTTGTAAATTTATCCAAGAACTATAGAATAATAAAATATTTTTTAAAGAATCCTTTATATCAAACAAATTGTAACATAAACTACAGACTGTTTTCTTACCTGAGATAGTATAAGTCTTTTACTGTCATTCTTCAGTGCCATTAATATATCAAACCATGTCCATATACGATTGTGATACTCAAATGTCGGCAATATAATACTAAAGTCATGGATATCTTCTATGTTCTTCTCTTTCTCTCCCTAAAACATTGTAATATTAAAGTATAGGTGAAATCAATGTGAATTGATTTGTGTGGAATAATTGAATCATACCAATTCCAATGATCAAGTTGCCTTTCAGGAATGACTTTCATCAATCAAACATCAAGCTGGAGATTAAAAATATGGTAAGCCAAATACAAAATTTTTGGAAGCATCTAAATTGAAAGGGTCATAAAGAAGCCAGTTATAACAGTTTAAGGTTAACTTTGCTTCAGAGTTCTGCAAACTTTATTTTATGTACTCTCATAATTCATGAAACAAAAACAATTTGCTTTCAAAATGAATCCTTTATTAAAATCGTTTCAAGGTTATTTCAGAAACACGTTCATTCTGAAATGAGTCTTTTTTTTTAATTAAGATTAGATCAAATTTTACAATGAATTTTAACATTTCATGACGACTGACTGAGCTGAAGTAAACATCGGTTTTTGTGATTTTGTTTTATATTTTACCATCAAAATTTATTATGGTTTTAACCCAAGTTAAGGCTGGAGTCCCGGGACTGGTCTTGGATCACATAACAAAGTCAGTGTGGCTGCAGAAGGACCAATCAGGGTCTTTTCTGAACATCTGATTACAGTGTCATATCTAGCACATTCCTGTTTCAATATTATAATTGGAATTTCACAGGACTTGTCATTGAACAATTAAGTAATGGATAGTAAGCATAAGGAAAACACAGAACATCATAACTCAAGAAATCCATATTGGATACCTTTATTGAAATTAGCAATGAAAAAAAGATTTATATGCAAAACACTATGGCCACATAACAGGTTATTAACTTTCTGATGATATATAACATAACAAAAAGTAAAATCACAAAAATACCGAACTCCGAGGAAAATTCAATCGGAAAGTCCCTAATCACATGGCAAAATCAAATGACAAAACACATCAAACGAATGGACAACAACTGTCATATTCCTGACTTGGTACAGGCATTTTCAAATGTAGAAAATGGTGGATTGAACCTGGTTTTATAGCGCTAAACCTCTCACTTGTACGACAGTCTCATCAAATTCCGTTATATTTACAACGATGAGTGAACAAAACTTTGTCAATTTGTGGAAAATTTCATTTAAATATATTTTACAAACTTATTTGATTGAATCAAACAGGGGTTAAAAAAGACCTCTTCCATAAAGTATTTAAAATTAATAAAATTTAAGCAAGAGATCCCAAAAAGTCTATCTTTCCAAATCTTATTTGTTCCTGATCAACAAGTACTACTTACCTTGTAACTAACACGCATTGAAACTTCTGGTATCTTGACATAAACAAATGTGTTGTTGTTGGCAGCCCTCTCCTAAAATACAAAAGTCGATATTTTCAATGAATATTCTATTGTGAAACACACATGTAGTGACTGAGTTCATTAATCACATCAAAATGATCTGTTTCAGCTTATATGAGATTGATGGTAAGAAAAAGATTTCTTATTTACAAAAAAAATCACCAAAAAAAAGTACAAATAGCAGTCCAACACAGTTTAGAGTTGTTTAAGGAGAATCTGAGATGTTTACTTTTGTTTCCAATTGCAACCTGAAATATGGTAGAAAATATCATTCATACAATTTCAATTAAAAAAAAAAAAAAGTTTTAACATGTACTTTTTTGTTGTTTTTAAGCTTACTTTCATTTTATCAATATCTTCACTATCAACATCAATATAAAATGAAGATTTGGATTTCTTTGCTTCTTTCTTCTTTTTGTCCTTTTCTTTTTTATCCTTCTTCTTATTTTCAACATCATCATCTGTAAAAAAGGACAGGAAATGTTTTATTTAATAACTGGTTGTTTGATATAGTATTAAAGCTCATTCTAAACATTCTTAATAAATTTCGTGGTAGTCAGATTTTTAGGGTAAGGATACCAAGTTCCCGTGACCATTAACCTTTAATGAGTTTCTGACGAACACTTATCCCCAACCAATGGCTTAATTCAATATTAGTCTTTTGTGCAACTGTAATTGAGCAACAAAACTGGTGGAGCCTGAACTGCCTAACCTTCCAACTCACATGATCTCATCCCAAGATTATTTTTTTTTTGCAGATATGAGTTTATTGTGTAGTTTTCTCTCGTAGATTTTTTTTTTTTTTTTATCCCCCTCCCTTTGGTATCTTCTTTCTTATTTATAAGAATTCAGAAATTATTAGAGCTTTTAATTTATGTGAATAATGCAAATAGGGTGAGAATTGCAATAGGAAGTTGCATTCTTATATCTGAAACATATGTCTGTATGGTCCTTTTCCAGAATCACAATAATTAATCTAACATTTTTGTCAACAAGAGTGCACACGCTGAAATGTCTCGCCTTCTTTACTAATCATTGATATTATGTTGATAGTCCTAAATATAAAGCTTTACTACAACTTTCACATAAACTTAACATGATCCAAGAAAATGAGGTCAAGGTCATATAAATCGAACAAGAAATACATGTACACCTAACAATCATTCAATACACTAAATAAAGTTGACCTATTGCTTATAGTTTCTAAGAAACAGACTTAACCAAGAAAACTAAACATTGACCAATGAACCATGAAAATGAGGTCAAGGTCAGATGAACCATGCCAGGCATTGTCAGATGAACCATGCCAGGCAGACATGTACAGCTTACAATCCTTCCATACAACAAATATAGTTGACCTATTGCTTATACCGGGTAGTTTAAGAAAAACAGACAAAAACAAAAACACTTAACACTGAGCAATGAACCGTGAAAATGAGGTCAAGGTCAAATAAAACCTGCGAGACTGACATGCACATCATAAAATATTTCCATACACCAAATATAGTTGACCTATTGCATATAGTATTAGAAAAAAAGACCAAAACTCAAAAACTTAACTTTGACCACTGAACCATGAAAATGAGGTCAAGGTCAGATGACACCTGCCAGCTAGACATGTACACCTTACAATCATTCCATACACCAAATATAGTAGACCTATTGCATACAGTATAAGAAAAACAGACCAAAACACAAAAACTTAACTATAACCACTGAACCATGAAAATGAGGTCAAGGTCAGATGACACCTGCAAGTTGGACATGTACACCTTACAGTCCTTCCATACACCGAATAAATTAGACTTATTGCTTATAGTAACTGAGATATGGACTTGACCACCAAAACTTAACCTTGTTCACTGTTCCATGAAATGAGGTCAAGGTCAAGTGAAAACTGTCTGATGGGTATGAGGACCTTGCAAGGTACCCACATACCAAATATAGTTATCCTATTACTCATAATAAGAGAGAAATTAACATTACAAAAAAATCTTAACTTTTTTTTCAAGTAGTCACTGAACCATGAAAATGAGGTCAAGGACAATGGACATGTGACAGACTGAAACTTCCTAACATAAGGCATCTATATAAAAAGTATGAAGCATCTAGGTCTTCCACCTTCTAAAATATAAAGTTTTTAAGAAGTTAGCTAACGCCGCCGCCGGATCACTATCCCTATGTCAAGCTTTCTGAGACAAAAGTCGCAGGCTGGACAAAAATCATAATGATGCACACAATAATTTCTGAATTAGTTAACTTATTAGTTATAATTGATACATACAAACACAATGAAATGAAATGGTAAGTGATATGGTGAAGATTTGTTTTGTAGTGCAGAAACAATAATTAATGAACCCCTCCCCCCTTTTTTTCTAAATTAAAATCATCATCAATTCTTTCACAGTGAACTTTAAATTCAAAATCTTTTGCATTAACATTACCATAAAGGATTTCAAACAATAAAATAAATTAAAAAATTATTTACTACGATTTAATTTTAATTTGTTTAAATTGGATTAAAGTAGTTGAATTTTGTTAATTTCTTGTTTAATTTGATAATGTTCTTTGAAAGATATTATTGTTCAACATGTATTAGTAAATCATTTTGTATAAAACCATTGAATGCATAATTTTTAAAATGTAAGACTTGCTAGTTGTATTACTGGCCAAATGTTTTAAACGAAAGATAGAAAATTTTATAATTATCTCCCCTTAATGACAGAAAATTCAATTTTTATGGGAAACCAAGTTGTCTAAAGTAAATTTTTAACCTGATAAATTTCTAGAAATGGAAAGATATTTTCTTTGGTATATTTTTCTACTTCTAAATTCAGTTAACAAACTCAATTGTGAATGGATGTAAATTCCGTTATCAAAATATTTAAATATCTGGAACTCCAGAATCATGGCCTCACAGTTTTATCGCCTATATATACCTAAAAATCAAATACCATGCTGGTGTGGTGGTAATGCTTGCTTTAGGGGTAACATACAAGGCACATGTTGCCAGTATTATCCTTGGGAAGGTCTGAGACATAGGTAATCAACCCTCTAGAAGGGGGTGCTCCTAATGGAGGAGTGGGTCAACAGAAACCAGGCTAAGCTGAGAGTTACAGCATGTGATGTCTATAGACTGATGCATGGCTCTCAGTTCTAGTTGAAAGAGACCCATTACCAGCAAAAGTAGTACAATTTGCAAGATGGCCCAAGGGCCATAACTCAATTCAGACTACTCTACCACCATGCCCTTCTTTTTTGTAATAAGAATTTCAGTCATTATTTTACAAGATATATCTGAGCATATTCATCAACAGCCAAGAACTTCTTTTAATGCAAATTCATGTACAGATTTGTGAAATGAGAGTTCTAGTAATTGTCATATAATTAGTACTTTTTTTACTCTAATAAGTCTAAACTGGCTGGCAGGGGTAAAGATGGGGGTCAGTTCCACCAATTATTTTTCGACTTTAAATTCTTTTTAAATCTCAAAATTGTAACTTTTGTTCTTTTCCAAAATCAGAAATCATATCTTTGTAACCAAATATACTCAATAATCATTTTAAAGCAAAGCTATCACTTGCACATAACTGAAGATTGTCATATAATCAAAACCCCAAACCACACCACACTGGATTTATTCAAGATATTCAATAGTGCAATAATGAATGGTATGTGTAAGCAACTCTATCTTGTCCAACCTTTCATGTTTTATATTTTTTGGTTAGTTTTTGACAGGCTAGCTCATATACTAAATACTATCTAATACTTCGTACAGGAAGGCACTCATATGATTCTATCAGTCTCTCCCACTGAAAGTAAATTGCCTAGATAGTTGCTTCCTCCATTGATTTACCTTCATCTGTTTCTCCAGGGAAGAAGAATGCTAGAAGAATTTTGTAGAACTGGTATGTGATCTGTATCTGGAGAGGAATTACAACTACTTCAAAGTGTTCCTTCACTGCTATACCACCGACTGAAATAAAGGACAAATAGTTAAAAGAAATAAAGTATGCAAATGTTTGCACCTGTACTAAGTCAGGAATCTGATTACAGTAGTTGTCGTCTGTTTATGTAGTTCATACGTGTTTCTCGTTTCTTGTTTTTATATAGATTAGACCATTGGTTTTTCCATTTGAATGGTGTTACACTAGTAATTTTTTGGGGCCCTTTATAGCTTGCTGTTCGGTGTGAGCCAATGCTGCGTGTTGAAGGCCGTACCTTGACCTATAATGGTTTACTTTTATAAATTGTAACTTGTATGGAGAGTTGTCTCATTGGAACTGATACCACATCTTCCTATATTTAGGAAAGAAAGGACAAATATATACAAGTAATTATTGAAAATCACCATTACCTATACTTCAGTTTAATAGAGTTACACTGATAGATTTAACAAATATCCATGATTACACTGCCTTGATAATAAGTATGTTTAAATGACACAGGCATCAAATTTGAATTTATATTTTAAAAGTAAAAGATGAGGGAAGTCATATAAAAGTTCACTTTTTTTTTTATTTCAGCACATTCAATAGTTATATATTCTATAAGTGTACTGCACCTGGTGACCTTTCACTGCATAATATTCTCAAGGCCATCTGTCTGTCACTCTCCTTTCCTAATGGATCCCTTGGAACTAATACATCCTGTAATTAATCACAAAGTTATTTGTATTATTTTGTTCTAATCTGCTTCACTGTCTCATTGACATACCCACATATCTTTTTATTCATAATTATGTATTTAATTCATTCATATGTGAATAACAAACCTAATCAATTTAAATTATTTCTTCTCAGTTGTTAAACTTTAATTGTCGACTGAAGTACATTTTGTGTCAGGCTGGGATTTAAAGCATAATTCACTTAGATAAAATAAGTACATACATACATTTAAGTTGCTGTTTTTATTGTTGTTTATCCTAATTTTCTGTTTAAGGACTGTTCAATGTTCATTTTGATATAATGAAATATATACAGAAAGCTCTGTTAATTTCTTTATGTGCCCATGCCATGTCAAGGGCCTGTGATTTTAGTATTTTTTTCTTGATTTAGGTCCTTTATATTTGTTTTTAGTAAATTGTATTGTTACTGATAAACCCTTCCTTTAGTTTTCTTGTTTGATTTGTTCCACATGTTTCATATCAGGGCCTTTTATTGCTTACTATATGGTATGAGTTTTCTCATTGTTGACGACCGTATGGTGGCCTATATTTGTTAATATATCTTCCTCCTTTGAACTCTTTTGGATAGCATTGGTTCAATTGCTACCACATCTTTTTTTTTTTTCTTTTTTTTTTTTAAATAAGACAGTTACATGTAACTTAATTCAATACAACTGTTATGAAATTGAATTTATATTAAAGGCTTTGATCAATAAATATAACGTAGAGCTACTATACCTTGTACATTGTATTTGGCTGTAGATTGGTAACTTTGACCCAGCCCAGTTCTAACTGATGAGTCCAGGTTTCATTGTCTCTGTTTACTTTACTGTATCTAAAAAAACAAAATTTATTTTAAAGTCAAAAATATGTTTCAGTGGAATTCAAACTCTCTCTTAACAGTAAAAGTTAAAGGCCCTTAAATTATCTGTTTTGACAATTTCAGCATATTTTCATATTAACTTAAAATAGATGTACAGAAAGTGTCAACAACAAAAATGATCAGCAATAAAATATCTACAAAAATACACATGACTGAAACTTCCTTTAACTTACACAAAGTTCCTCAACACCAGATCTGCTATACCTAACTGTCCATCTTTTTCTGTTAACCTCCAGTGGGCAAACTTAAAACACACTTCATTCACCTTCTCAACTTGTGCTTGTTTCTCTGAAACAAAAGATAGAACTTGATTGAGAATATGAGATTTTTTTACTCAGAATAAGCATGATTTCTTATATATTAAAATTTTCATCAGCAAATAATACAGGCATCTAATTCATAAGAACAGAAAAATGTTATGTGATATGAATATACAGTCATTTTTCCTGACAAACTGTGTCAGATCTTAAGGTTGCAAGCTTACAAGGTAACAGTAAAATTCTGCATACAGAAATGTAGGTAATTATGATGTTGTTAATTACTGGAATTTCAAGGTTCACCTATATAAATAAAATCCTTAAAAGTTAGAACCTCTTGAATAAAAGTCGTTTGATGTGTTTGAGCTTTTGATCTTGCCATTTGAAATGAGACTTTCCGTTTTGAATTTCCCTTGGAGTTCCGTATTTTTCTTTTTTTTTACTTGTTCATGATCCATGTATATAAGAAAGGTCAATTCTCTAAAGTATTTTTACCTTTGGCCATTTTCATCTGTGCTTTGATTTTTATCAACTGACTTTCTTGGAAACAGCTGTAAATATACAAAGAAAATGTATTTTTAAGAAGTAGGTCAGTTTGTTTATTTTGGTTAAAAATTCACAATATTTTAGTATAAATGATGTAAAAAATATTGCCAGTTCACATTCTAAATACCCATTTAACCCTGCTGCATTTTTGCGCCTGTCCCAAGTCAGGAGCCTCTGGCCTTTGTTAGTCTTGTATCATTTTTAATTTTAGTTTCTTGTGTATAATTTGGAGTTTAGTATGAGGTCCATTATCACTGAACTAGTATACATATTTGTTTAGGGGCCAGCTGAAGGACGCCTCCGGGTGCGGGAGTTTCTCGCTGCATTGAAGACCCATTGGTGGCCTTCGGCTGTTGTCTGCTCTATGGTCGGGTTGTTGTCTCTTTGACACATTCCCCATTTCCATTCTCAATTTTATTCACAAGAAAATAAGATAGGAGTTTCCCATATCCAGTACAACTTGTCATTAGGTTAAAAGCAGACCAAACATAATAATGAATGAACGTTTATCTACCTAGTTGATCTTGATTTATAAACTAGAGGCCCCAAAGCACCTGTGTCGCTCACCTGATATTTTTTATTACAATTGATGCATGAAATAATGTAACCATTTTACTTTTGCTTTAGTTTCAGAGATATAAGCCAATCAAAGTGCTGGATAGCACTTCTGGAAAGTTTGCAACTGTAGATGTGTATTATTTCAAATAGGTTATAGACGTGTATTATTTCAAATATGTATTTAATCACAGCTTTGATGTGTTTAACTAAAACATTGTCTCTTCAGGAATTATCAAAAATTAGTTTTTTCATTTTTGTAATATAAAATTTTGATATTTTCTATTGCAACCTTAAACTGTAGATCTAAAATAATAAAATATATACAGAAAGCTCTGTTAATTTCTTTATGTGCCCATGCCATGTCAAGGGCCTGTGATTTTAGTATTTGATTAACGCGTTAGTTTTCTTGTTTGAATTGTTCCACATGTTTCATATCATTACCTTTTATAGCTTACTATATGGTATGAGTTTTCTCATTGTTGACGACTGTATGGTGGCCTATAATTGTTAATATATCTTCCTCCTTTGAACTCTTTTGGATAGCATTGGTTCAATTGCTACCACATCTTTTTTTTTTTTTTTTTTTTTAAATAAGACAGTTACAAGTAACTTAATTCAATACAACTGTTATGAAATTGAATTTATATTAAAGGCTTTGATCAATAAATGTGGAATGTGTCCGCTAGCATTTAACGTTATAAAGGGTCACAACTCAAGAACTGTAAAAGTGACGATACCAAAATTTGTACTTTATCTGAGTTTTAGGGTAATAAGCATTGTGTATACATTCCTACACATTAAGTTGAGGCAAACTTAAGTTAAAGAACGGAAATAAAAAAATAGGCAACTTTTCCATTTGTAACAGCATTACCCTAGAGCAGTAAAAATAACTCCACCAAAATTCAAACTTGATCTTGGTTTTATGGTTAAAAGTATTGTGTATAAGTTTCATAACATTTGGTTGAGCGAACTACAGTTAGATAACGGAAATGAAAAAAATCAGCATTTTTTACATTTGTAAAGGGGCATAACTCTAGAACGGTATAACTGACGCCACCAAAATTCAAACTTGACCTGTGTTTTGTGGTAATAAGCATTGCATAGAAGTTTCATACAATTTGGTTCAGGCAAACTAAAGTAAGAGAACAGAAACCAATTATGGGATGTGTGGACGTACGTACAAGTAAGGGACTTACATACTTAACAGAAGAACAGGGTAAAACTTAATATGGTGGGGGCATAACAATAGCAGTATGATGACAGGAATAAAAAGTTTATATACACTAGATTCATAGAGGTGCTTATAACCCTGTAACACATTTTAGTTGCTGCTGTACATGTGAAATTTAGCATTGAGGCAATAACATTTGAGATTTTTGGTTTTCAGCCGTTCATTTGATATACTACACTACTGGACGAAAAAACAACTGTCCATACCAGTAACAGTTTTTGTACGACTGTCTTAGTCTGTGGAAGACTGAAGATGACTGTCAAAGAAACTGATACAGTTGATTAATGTCTGTCCCAACACTTTTATGAGTTGTGAAAATCAAAAAATGTTATCAACAGTCATTTAAGGATTGTTGCAGTGGTTTACGGGGTTTTCACAGTCAAAAACTATTTATTACAGTCTTTCCAAAAGTTGTGGCAGTTGTATAATGTTTGTCCAAACCTTTTAATAGTTGGGACAGTTGAAATTTGTTTGTGTCAACTTTTCAGACGTTGATGCAGTCAAAAAATGTTTGTTACATCGTTTTTTTGAGTTGGGACAGTTGTAAAATGTTTGTTACAACTTTTTAAAGGTTGTTACAGTCATAAAATGTTTATTACAAATTTTAAAAGGTTGCTACAGTCGTTAAATGTTTAAAACAAACATTTCATAGGTTGTTGCAGTCGACAAATATTTGAGCGTCACGGTAGCAACTCAGTGTAAAAAAAAAATTACGTTTCACCCGGCTCTCAAGATTTGATATAGTTGTGAAATAGCCCATAATTTATACTATTATTATCTATTGTGCGGTTGTTGACTTGTTTTGTTTTTTATTTATTTATTTTGCGATCGTTGTTTGTCTTTTGTCTATTTCCGTTTATTGCCATAGCATTGTCCGTTCATTTTTGACATGTGCGTTTGACTTTCCTTTAGGTGTTTTACTTTTTTATTTGATCTATTCAGATTCGTTCATAACTGGTTTTACATACCAGAAGCCTTCGTTTAAAAATGAAGTTTTAATATTATTGCAGAAGATACTAATGAATTCATTAAAATTGATATTTGAAAAAGTTTTGATAAATTCTGAGGAATAGAAAATGTACCGTCGGTGTACGTGAAGTAAATTTAAAGAATATGACATAGTTACCAATATTGTACAGCACAATAAAACAGTTTTACTTTGAATTACTCTCCATGAGGGATATTTCCGATGATACAAAAAATAATTAATTAAATCTGAGACTACTATAACACATTATAGTAGTCTCAGATTAAACTGTAAAATTTCATTAATAAAATGCTCCGCAGGGCGCAGCTTGATACGACCGCAGAGGTCGAACCCTGAACAGTTGGGGCAAGTATGGACACAACATTCAAGCTTGATACAGCTCTGAATTTGGATTGTGATTAAATATTTGACACAGCATAGGTTTCTGACACAGAATGAATGTGGTCTAAGAACTTAAAAATTTTAAATTGGACATTCACCTATTATGGTCCAATATCCAAAATCTAAATACATGGTTAGATTCAGCATATCAAAGAACCCCAAGAATTCAATTTTTGATGAAATCAAACAAAGTTTTATTTTAGACCCTTTTGACCTCAATGTGGAAAAAGTTGATAACAGGGCCCAAAAATCAAAAATCTAAATACATGGTTAGATTCAGCATATCAAAGAACCCCATATATTCAATTTTTGTTGAAATCAAACAAAGTTTAATTTTGGACCCCGATTTGGACCAACTTGAAAACTGGGCCCATAATCAAAAATCTAAATACATGTTTAGATTCAGCATATCAAATAACCCTAAAAATTCAATTTTTGTTAAAATCAAACTAAGTTTAATTTTGGACCCTTTGGACCTTAATGTAGACCAATTTGAAAACGGAACCAAAAATTAAGAATCTAAATACACGATTAGATTCGGCATATCAAAGAACCCCAATAATTCAATTTTTGATGAAATCAAACAAAGTTTAATTTTGGACCCTTTGGACCTCAATGTGGACCAATTTAAAAACGGGGCCCAAAATCCAAAAACTTAATACACGGTAAGATTCAGCATATTAAAGAACCCCAAGAATTCAAGAATAAAACCCCATTGAAATTGATCAAGAAATAAGCAATTTATACGAAGTATCTTCTTTTGCACAATACTGTGCAATTGAATATTTCTTGCTATTGCGCAATACTGTACAATTGACAATTTCTTGCTATTGCGCAATATTGTGCTATTGGATATTTCTTGCTATTGCGCAATACTGTGCAATTGAAGATTTCTTGCTATTGCGCAATACTGTGCAATTGAAGATTTCTTGCTATTGTGCAATACTGTGGAATTGAAAATTTCTTGCTATTGCACAATACTTATTATATAATAATTTACACATCCTGTTTGGTGTGTATCTCCTACCATATCATTATTATTTGCTTTTAAATATAAATCAGAAATAACCAACTTAAAATGGAAAATTTTAAAAGAAAAAAAAAGAAAAAAAAAAAATCCCCCCCCCCCCAAATTTTTTGAACCCCCTTATGATTCATCACCCCCAAACTCAATCCCAGCCTTCCCTTTGTGGTATGGTACCTTGCAGTATAATTTCAGAGAAATCCATACACTTGAACACAAGTTATTGTCTGGAAACTAGAAAAATGCTTATTTTTGGCCCCTTTTTGGCCCCCAATTCCTAAACGTTTAGGGCAATTACCCCCAAACTCAATTCCAGCTTTCCCTTTGTGATATGGAACCTTGTAGTACAATTTCAGAAATATCCAAACACTTACAAGTTATTGTCATGAAACTAGAAAAATGCTTGTTTTTTGCCCCTTTTTTGGCCCCTAATTCCTAAAATTTTGAGGCAATTACCCCCAAAATCAATTACAGCCTTCCCTTTGTGATATGGAACCTTGTGGTACAATGTCAGAGAGATCCATACACTTACACACAAGTTATTGTCTGGAAGTTACAAAAATGCTTATTTTTGGCCCCTTTTTGGCCCCTAATTCCTTAACTGTTGGTACCATAACCCCCAAAATCAATCCCAACCTTCCTTTCGTGGTATTGAACCTTATGGTAAAATTTCATGGAGATCCATTCACTTAAACTAAAGTTAGAGTGCGAAAACCAATGTGTCTTCGGACGACGCCGGACGACGCCGGACGACGACGACGACGACGACGACGACAACGACGACGACGACGACGACGACGACGCCAACGTCATACCAATATAC